AAAAAAATTGAGCACACGCAAAAAAAGATAGCAAAAAGACAGCAAATCGAGCAATCGATGACCAGTAAAAAAGTTGCGTATGGCAACAATTTATTGATTTATTATTGTGCATATAGCGCATAATTTATTACAAATCTATTTGAGTTGGGCCGCCAATAAGGGGTTTTAAGCCAGGGGGAAATCGTGGGTGCCAAGAGATTTATTCGTCAGGGAGGTATATAAACAAAAGACTTAGGCAACACACTTGCCATTTAAACGAGATACAAAATTATATTCTAAAGTGCACAATGCGGAAGCACTGGTCGCTGTTTCTAAATCTTCTTTAAGTAAAACTTTTTGGCAACAACACATTAAAACTTTAAGAACCCCAATATCATACAAAGTAACTTTATGATTGCAAAACTAGCTGCCAAAGAACTTTACTCCCTCCAAAGTCCGCCATAAAAACTCCTTTGCAATCCATTTGGTGGCACCACATAAATACATGGTTTATTATCTCCCCTTGTTAATGACTTAATTAAACGCCTTTTATGTAAACAACGGCGAGTGAGCCGGCAACAACCACAACTACAACTCGATGCATGATCTGAACCCACAACTGACACCGGAGCAACGCCCACGCAGCAATAACAACAACAACGACAACAACTGGAGTAGGAATAGGAACAACAACAACAGTGACCACACGCCACTTGGCTGCACACTTCCCACGCCCCCTTTTCGCCCCTCTGTCCCCTTTTAGCCATGCCCCTGTGTTTGAACCTGCTGCCAGTCACAGTGGCTGTTTGTTTTTGTATATACACAGGGAGAAATACTTTTAATAAATGGGAAATATAATTGTATAACATTTAAAAACAATCAGAACATTTTTTTGATAGAGATTCATAAGGATAAAAAGAGATTTTCATGTAAATTATCATAAAATAGTTTTAAAACATTTTTAAAGGTTTTTATTTAACATTATTTTATAAATATATCATCTTATAAAAACCTTTATTTTCATATATCTCACGTAAATGGAATAATATAAATAAAAATGTCATTGATCATATGATCTGATTCTAATTAGATTTATTAGGTTTAATGATACTTAAAAATTAAACAATAATATTTCTATGACATTAAGAATATTTTATATATAATATAAATATATATAATTTCAAAATGAAATTTTACGGAAAATCTAATAATTTAAATGATTTTGTTAAACCCGAAAACATTCAATTTACTATAGATATTTTCCAGTGCATAGTTGTTCATTGGTGGCGACTGCCACTTGATAAATATCATTAAACCGCCCGCCTGGCTGTTCGCTTTTGTTCAGAGCGCCCAAGAAGATTGATAATGCCGCACAAAAGGAGGGCTATTTGTGTGGGAAGTGTTAATAGGACGAATGAATATAAATATCCAATTAAGTGTGGCGATTTGATTTAATTGGCTGGAGATTTGTAGGGGGCTCTGAGTAGAGTGAATGGAGCCCAGACCCCTGGTGACTCGGAGATGTTTGCGATTCGGTTTGCTAATTAGCTCGGGGCTCTCCTCTGGCCACCACCTTCCATTATGATCGCCGCCTTGGGCAACGATATCTGCGCATGAAATATCACGCCAATTACAGTAGCGGTTAGTCCGATCCAACCACTTAACGATTCACCGATCCACCGATACACCGGCAGACCCAGACCACAACCAGTTACTTTTAACTCGGCGCACTGCGAAATTAAATCAATTAAATCAAAAACAGTGAGGTCTAAATGTTAAAATTAGAGAAAATGCTGAATACTCTTTCGGCTAATTTTGACAAACCTTATAATCTTATAATCTCACTGAATGATAAATAAATATTTTATAATATCGATAGAAAGAGACGCTGTTTAAAAATGCATTGGGTTCTTCTGAATTTGTGTTTCTAGGTGCTGTTTTTGAAATTAGGATTTAATTCCTAATCTTCGGGAATCAAAAAGTTATTTGGGTTAAAAATAAATTAGACCATTATTTTACAAAGTACATTAAATTATAAATAATTTGTGTTTTCCAATGGAATTTTAAAAATTTTGATATGGTTCCCAATTTTTGGGAATCTAAATACTAAAATACTATACCAATATCAAACTGATAATATTTACAAATATACCCCATTTGATGAACAGAGTATAAACAGCTTTAACCGCTAGAGTTGAGTGATTTTGGATCAATTATGTTTACGACTACTCATTAAATATTTATTTAATTGATTGAGCAGTTATGTGATGTCACATATGTAATTACATGTGTGCTAAGAGATATTTCCCATTTGAATTAAGTTTTAATTAGGTCTCAGCTCTTTTGATCACCTTGCTAAAGAAATACTCTCCCATTTCAATTACAGATGCCTTACCACCGACTGAGTATTCTGGGGATGTTGCTTCTTTCTTTGGTCTGCGCCAAAGCCGATGTGGGCTACCATTACAACAGACCCACGAGACCCACGGCACCTTCGGCTCCCTCGGGACCCGGATCGGTGTACACGGGTCACCAGTTCAGTGCACTGCCCACAATTCATCCGCTGCCACCAGTTCCGGCCCTTCCACCTCTTCCCACGGCCAGGGTTCCGATCCCGAGGAGTCGTCCCACAGCTCCTGCCGCCAGCATCGTTAGTCACTATCTGCCGGCCAAGCCAGTGGTTTCCACATACATCCCACCGTCGTCGGCTGCCCCTCTATCATCTATAAGTTTCCATGGAGCGCCCACTTACAAGCCCATCTATGGACCTCCCTCTCCTCCTTCCTCAGTAAGGATTAGCCAGCCGTTTCCCACACTGACCACGCCCATTGTGGTACCGCCCACTGGACCGGCTCCTCTGCCCGAAGGAGGAAATCTTCGCATTCCCTTCGGCAAGCAAGCCTTGATTTCTCCCGGAGAATCCTACGTTTCCAATGGAAGACAACTGAAGCAATATGCCGTCATCGAGATTATAGACAATGATATCGATGAGACGCCGGGTCCATTCCTCTCGGGATCCAGTTTCTTCGATCGTTACGGAGCACATGTGGGTGCTCCATCGGGGAATGGAATCCAGATAGATTCTAGGGCCAATTCTTTGCTCTTAGAGCAGCAGCAACTGGCCATCCAGCCCAGATCTCAGGGAGGTTCGTCGGGAGGAGATGCCATCGCCTTGGGATCGGGTGGTCTGGGCTTTGTGAGACTGCCCAATGGAAATGTGTACCTGGGATCCGGTTCCCTGGGCTACATCAGTGGTCAGCAGCGAGTGGCTTCTGTCCTGGAGGCTCGCACTCGATCGGAGTCCACCTCGGATGCCCTGCACTTCGGCCATGGACCTCTGGGCGGAGTGGACAACCTGCTGAGATTCAAGTAGAGAGGCTGCGGCAGAGGCTACCTTCCCTACCCACTCGCACATCTCCACATCTACATCTATTGAAATATGTATATTTTATTGTAAATATGTAATTAAAACATTTTCTTGTTTGTGTAGACCGTAAGCTTGCTCAAACTATTCGAGATTCTTGTACATTTGTCCTATGCGAAACATCGAAACTTGATCAAATAAATACAAATATGGTTAAATATATCAGCAGTGAGTTAAAAATGATTTTAAGGGATATTCAAAAATCGTATAAGCTTTAAAAAAGTATTTCAAAAAAGATTAGTATGGGCCTACAACGTCTACATAACTTATTTATACTAATTATTAAAACGAGTAATTTGTTATTAATAGAATTATTTTCAGCTCAGTGGCTCCATAATGAACTATTTATAAAGACGGTCATTTATGGAACTAAAAATTGTTATTTTCGTCGCCTAAAAGTATACTATTATTTTTATCATTATATCATCAACATAAAATTTATTATTTAAATATTAACTTTAAACAATTTTCAAAACCTGCATAACAATAAAAATATTTACAGCCTAAAAACTCTTTGTAGAATTCTAGTTTGTAAAAAAATTAACCATCTACCTTGAGTTTAATATAATCGATTCAAAATAATTAACAATTTCGCGAGTCAAAATTTTGTTTATATTTTAAGAAGCAATATGCAATTTTCCAAATTAATTTTCGCAATTCTTAAATGTGTACTATTGTTATTCAATTTCTTTTATTAATGAACAACAATTCATTGTTAATTCAATTCAATTTCCGCTAATTTGAAATGTAAATACCTTACACTATTTGTTTTGACTAGCTTGCCTAGTTTACTTATTGAATTTAATTGATTGCCTTATATTTATAACTCTGTAAACATCTGCTTAGGTCACACAGAGCTCGCATGCGTACCACTATTTGCACTATCTCGTGTGGTCGAATTTTTGCACAGCGATGCTAAATCTCAAGATCTGGCTGGGCAAACACTTTGCCAACGCCTGTTTGCCATTAAGCAATTATTCATGCGCAGTACTCAAATGGGGCTGGAACGTGCCGGGATCAGTGTGAAGTAGTTGTTGCGGCTGGCCCTAGGGATCGGTCTATCTGAACATGTGCTCGGCATAATACTTTTGAATAAATAATTATAATGGGGAAAAGGGAGACCGGGGGCAAAGGCGAAACGTTTCCTAACTGCGCAGTTTTTAGAGATCTATTTTTTTGGGCCTGCTTGCCGGTTTCTAGAAACACAAATGCGTTGTTGATCTTTTGTTTGGGGTGTATATAGTATATAAAATATATGTGTGTTCCTTCAGATAACTGGGACACGCGCTGCTGGGGCCACTGACTGGCTAACTAAAAAAGCCGGCCGGTATTTCCAGCTGTCTATAATACGTCCCCCACCGAAAAACCCCCCTTTCGCATTATTTCTCTTCAAACAGTTCAACAAACTGCCAAAAATAATATTAAACCGAAACTGACTCAAGGTAAAGTGGAAAGTGTTCTATCGCACGCGTGCCCTCCCAAGGTTCATTCGCTGATAAAGAAAGTAATTTGGGATTGTATTTTTCAAACACAAATAAAAAATATTAACTGAAAGCCAGAAATTATAGCCTACTATACCATTGAAATACAAATGTGGTTTCCTTTTAAATGATGTGTATTTTTTTATTGCTTTTGACTTAACTTCTAGAGTTTTACAAGTTACAAAGTCAATATGACCGAAAGAACGAAACAATGTGGAAAAACTAAGAACTTAGCATCTAGTTGATGGGTATGGCTAAAACGATGCACACTAAGCTTATAAGATCGGGTTTTAGTGGGTTTATCTATTGACTAAATGATTTTGGCAGTTGCTGCTTAGAGGGACTTCAACCACATCCCCTACAGATCCAGCTGGAACTGTTCCTGATCTTCGATCTTCAGAGACTTCGTCTTCTTGACCAGTTCTGTTGGGACGGGCACACATTTGCGGAAGGGAGTACGGGGAGTGCCCCTCAGCAAACAACTGGGCACATTGGGCGGGGGTGTTTGGCTCAGGGGGGAGCCACGGAGATTCTTCATGAAGGCCCGCTCGTAGATCAGTTTAGTGCCTGGAATAACATGAAGAAAAAAGTGTTGATTAGTCAGGGTGTCTGCGTTGCATCAGAAAGGTATTCAAAGTTCCCCAGTGATAAGAGCAGCTGCGTAAACATTTCTTTGCTGCGATAATGAGTCACGAACCTTGAGCACATGTGCTCGGAATTATCAGCAAACTGGCTGATTCAGGGAGATGCCCAGGTTTCATCAGCCAAAAAAAGGTGAGTGAGGTATTTAAAAATAAGTAAGAATTAAGATGTTCAAAACCTTTTGATTAAATTAAAATTTTAACTAGTTAGGAATTTAGACATTTCTTAAAGCCAATTTAAGTGCAAATTTAGCTTGACAAACAAAATAAATATTTAGATATTGGAATAATCAAATGAGGCTCTTAACTTTTTTATCACTTTTTGAATTTTTAACCATCTTGAATATGATATATGGTTTCGTAATCCCCATTTCCGCTGTCTGAAACTTACCTCCAGGGGTGGTGGAGTACAGGGTTCCTCCGGGTGTTGAGGAGTAGACCTCGGGCATCTGGATTGGATCCGAGATGATGATCTTCCTGGTCATCATGGGCAGAGCCTGGGTAATGGCTTGACGGGCGGTCGGGGAAGCAGACATCTTTATTGATTGATTGGTTTTCAAGTGGTATTCGAAAAACTTTCCGCTGAACTTGTAAGCACAGTCGATATGGCTGTGACAATTTGATTGTTTACACAAACTGCGTTGTTTGAAAAGGTTGTGTTTTATCAGCTATAGAGCTATGTGGCTGCTATGTGTTGACCGTTGGCTGTTCGCTAGGCGATTGCTGGCGGTATTACGAAGTCGGGCTGTATTTATACCCCTAAGATTCTTGCGCTCTCGCGCAGCTATACGCTCTCTACTTCTGGGCGATTCTCTGGGGGAGTCTCTCTGATTATTTTGCTTGGTTCGGTCGGCTGATGTTTTTTTGTTTTTATCTGGGTGTATTTTCTGCGTAGTTTATGACAAACCGGGTGATTATTGTTGTTGTTGCTATTGCCTTATTCTAATAACCCCTATTGTTTTTATTTTTGTTGGAGAGCGGACGAGGGACCGCTGCACACCTCAGACATTTCCGAAGATAAGGGGGCTGTCTTGAGGGGCTTCTCGCCTTGAGCTCTTGTTTATCTTTAGCCATTTGTTATTGTTTAATGCACGGCAATATAATTGGTAAACAAGTTAGCCAGCAATACTAAACGGCAATCGCATTCTTTTCTCAAAAACGGTCTATTATCGATCTTGCTAGGGAAATTTGATGACTCAGGTGCAAGTGAGATGTTATCAATGGGTGTCTTTAGGTGCTTCAGGGAATTTCGGGAAGTGCTTGCTGTCTGCTCTCTATGGGGCCATGAATTTGCACTCGTTTTCACGAAATACAATTAATTAGCATAATGACACGTAGCCGGCAAACGTTGACGTAGGCCCTCAACGTATTTCTATGCATGTGGGAACTTAGAGAGCATAGCAATAATAAGTATTCATTATTACAATATGTTGTGGGCTATAAGATACTCAGTATATATTTTTGAGTGCAGAGTTTATGTAGTTTTAAGATAGATATTAAATATTAACTTAGCTTAATAACTTAGTCCACGTTTGTTGGACTTTAAGAAGTACTTTCTTATTTTAAATATATAAATATGCTTGCGATGCCGAATTATTTAGAACGCCATAAAATGATGTACAAAGTCGGTATAATTGCATACCAATCAATTTCATGCGTCCCTAGTTCATTGAATGAAGAAAATAAAAAAAACTTCTTGATGACTCTTTTTAGACCATAAGTTCTTTAACAATTTTTTATTAAAGGTCGTTGGTTACCAAAATTCCAGCTTCGATCTAAAGAAACCCTCATACCAAAATTGTGCCCCGAGCCCCCATAAGTTGCCTAGTTCTATAAGGTAGAAAATGTTATCTTCCGCAAAATGAGTATACCCCACAGATCATAGAAATGACAGGGTATACCTGTGGAGCGGCACGAGCGGTTTTCGCCACGCGGGGGCGATGTTGACGATTTTTAATTGTTGGACGCATGTAAATAGTGCTAAAGGAACTTTTGCTTGCGTCGGCGCCCACGATTCGACGTAATTCGGTTTTTGGCCCCTGGCCATTCCGAGGGACTTGGGGTTAATGTAAGGGTGCCACGTGTGTGTGATCTACAGCGATCACGATGTGGGAGGTGGCGCCCACCTAGAAATCTGCACAAGGTCAATACTTAAGCGTGCTGATATTTATGAGCCGTAAACAGGGAAAGCTCTTGAGACCTTGAAAGATTTTCCGGCTGTGGGGAGAAGGCATATGTATATGTATAATATGTAGGGAAAGCATGACCCACATCCATCAATTACATTTCATGGGGTGGGAGTAAGCTAAGTGCCAACTGACCCCCAAAAAGGCAACGGTAAACAAGGGAGCTAGAACATAGAGAACGCTGAGAATTATGCCGTGTCATCTAGCACGTAGTCCACAGCATAAAAACCGCCCTACGTGCAGGGAAATATGTTTATATATTTATTTTTTGGGTGAGAGACCGGCTGCTCTCTTCCATTTCCACGTCCATCAGGGCTTATCAACCCTCAAGGAACCAGTTCGGATTTCGCTTTCGGTTTCATCGGATACAATCTACCTGCGCAGAGAGAGAAACCTATAGTCGCAGTGAAAGAGATGGCAGCAAGTTTTCCTATTGCGCTGCAGCCAAGTGAAAATGCGTCTTGAGAAATTGTCAGCCAGAGGGGTGTTCCTTCTATCCGCCAGGGTTTTATAAGTAGCCTCTAGTAAAATTCGGCAGAAATCTGTTTTCGGAAGGCTGATGAAATTGCACCACCCGATTGCGTGCTAATGTGTGCGGTGGGTCATTACCATTCGTGGGATCTATTTCTAAACGAGTCTGAGATAGTTGTGAATGAGCTAGACGAAATCAACTTGTTTTTATTTTTCGGCTCGAGCGAATATCATGAAAAACGTAAACATATGGAAATGTCATATAACAAAGGGTCCGACGATATGTGGATGCTCTATACCTAAATTACGCGCTGTCAATAATGTGAGGTCTAATAACCTGAATCAACATAGAATATAGTAACTACATTTTACCAATTTTACAATGTTTTTGCAGTCTGATATTTTAATAATCCTACTAGATAATAATGAAACATAAAATAAATACATACTCTTATTTTAATTTAAAAAATATAAATAGAGTATAAGTAAATCTCATAGTGGTAACTTTTTTCTAGTTTTCTGTGACACTTAAGTTATTCTAATGATGGAAATTAAACGTATAGCATTCGGTAGTATATAAATTTTCAAGAAAACATCGCAGTTTATGAACGATAATAAGAATGCACAACTGTAAACAAGTTTTATTGGCTACATCTTTTAACAAAACCCCTCCATACTCGCAAACAGTCGTATAATAGGGCATCTTTAGACGCAAATAATACCCACATCGATCACATCCCGCATCTCTGTTGACGTCGATGACCCACATTCTGTGAATTCGAATGAGAAGCGCCGCAGTCGTCGCGTTGGCCAAAAAATAAAATCATTTGACTTTGTTTGTGCACAAAATATGAAAACGCTGAAAAAAAAAGCAGAGGAAATAACCAAAACAACAACATATAGCTAGTCTTTAAATTAGCATGTGCTTTTGTCTCGAAGATAATGAACTACATAGATAAGGATAAAGCCAACCCAGATCGAGACTGCTTGACGCTAAGTCATTGCCTGCTGGCATCCAGGGATCTTCGATCTTCGTCCTCTCCTGGGACAATCGCGTTATTTGCGTCTTAAGTTACATCAGCTAAACAATACGATCATATATGTCTGGTTTTGGAGGGGTTCTGAGGCCTCAGGGGGGTGGTACCTTCTAGTCTATCTGGTGTCTGCTACCTCTTCTTGACTCCTCTTTCTCTTTTGTAGAAAGTTCAACAGCCCCGCTGATAAGGTTTCCGACAGTCGAATATTTTAATCAAAATAAAAGGAATGATACAGGCTGTTTTAGATGCCCTAAAACCACATGTTCTTTCTTTCGCTCTATTAAATCTAAACCAACGTTAAAAATTCGGGAGAGCACTATTTCTAGTTTGATTTAGCTATAATTTTATTCTATACCAAAGGTTTCGTTTGTTATTTATTTGTTATTACTGATACATAATTTATTTATTTCCATACCTTCAATTTTCAATTGGTCAACCCTTCTTTGTATGATAGTTTATGATGATAGTTATTTTTTGGTAACACTAAATTTTCATACATAGGTATATGTTTATTTGAAAAGTTTATTTTAGTTCCAAAACAGATCTCTTTGAAACTGGAATACCTAAACATAGTGTATACTATACAGCCAATAAAAATCAGAATTTGTGGCTTGCGATCGGACAGAATCTTCGCTACGATTGCGATCTGGTCTTTCATCCAGATCTTTCACTTTCCGCAGTCATATATCAATAATGCATGGGGCAAGAATTAATGGAAAAATGGAATTTACTTGGCGAACTTTTTTGCTGAAACCTTCACAACGATCAATGAACTAAACCCGTGACGATCGAGGTCCCCGAACTTAACCGATCGACATGTGGCCAGTGGTTACTTAAGTGGGTGTGGTGTTTACTAAAAAAGATGGCTACTTCAATCCCACGTGAAAGGTGTCCAACATGGTGTGGTTAACAAATCCAAACGTCCAGCGCTGGCGATCGTTGTCCTTTTCGCACATACTGGCCACCACCCTGGCAACTCCGTTCTCCACAAATCCCTCCATACAGCGCTTGCTATGTTCTCCGTGGATCAACATCTGGGTTTCCCTATCGTAGTACCAGAACTGGTTGCCACCCTGACTGTGACAGCCCCACATCCAAACGGTGGCATTGGGTGGTGCCTCATGGACATCCAGGCACACGGACTCGTGACGCTTCATTCGTATATCCCGATGAATGGAGAGCTCCCAATATTGATTGGGCTGGGGACTGGTTTTGTTTTCCGCACAACTGAACATTCCCACCGCCTTTTCGTTTTCCAATCCCATGTTATCCAGGCAATAAACTGGATTGGCCACATTTTGAATGACCCCAGAGGAATAGGATGGTGGGTCTACGGGCGGGAACTTGACCAGGAAATCTGGAGCCACCTCCGTCATGAACCAGTGGAAGCTCTTGCACTTCAAACGCTCCCGAATTCCACGCTGTCTGGTAAGATCTCCGGGATCTAGGCCTTCGTAGGTGGCAGGATCGCGGGAATACACATATTGCTTATACTCATCCATCCAAACTTCGGCCACGCGTTTGTGGTTCTAAAAAGATATAATACTAGGTATTATGAAAATTATATATTGTTTAAGTACTAACCTTTGCGACAAAGTTGAATCCCCTGGGATTTCCCCTCGGTTTCATGGGTCCTCGGAATATATGGGCGACCCTCGAGCAGGGAACATCCAGCAACATGCCGCCACACATCCAGATCTTAAAGCTCAGTTCGTATTGCTCTCCACCCCAGATGTCCAACTGGTCGTCATAGCCACCCAGATCCCAAAAGAAGTCCGTGTTGATAGCAAACAAGCCGCCCATCATCACGGGACTTCGATAAGGCATGGACTTATCCACAGCATCCTCTGGTAAAACAGGCAGTTGTTTGTACAGCATTTTCCAATCGAACCCCCCACGAGCTCCTGCCTTCATGTCACCGGAGTAAGAGAAGTCACCATGCGCAATAGTATCCACAATAGGGCAGGTGGAGATCTTGGGATTAATGGCAATGGGTTCGATCAGGGGAGGGAGCTGGAAATTACAGAGTATAAATATTATTGAAAATACTATGTTTCATTAAAAACCTTACCCAATTGTAGTTAACTTCGATGTGGGAATCGAAGAAGACCATTACTTCTCCGATGGCCACTTTGGCACCAGCTATCCTAGCTCCGATTAGACCTCTTCTCTCCGGATTTCTCACTATGGTCACCAGATGCGGGAAGTGCTGTTCCACATACTCATCCAGTGGATGCTTCAGAACTTCCCACTCGCTGCCATCGTCCACAAGGACAATTTGTTTTAATAATTCCGGTGGAGTGCGATTTATCACACTGTAGATGGACCTCAACAAGGTGTTAAAGTGCTCGTTGAAGAAGATGAAAACCACACTGATGTTGGGCAACTTTGCCAGGTACTTCCGCGTTTTGCAACTACAGACATACAAAATCAGATAAGAAATAGTAATTACTGTAAGAGTAATTTCAGAATCTAATAATAGGAAAAAAGCAGAATGTTTAAAAAAAACTTTTTAAGAGCGTTAATAAAATGTGGAATTAAATGTTTGGCTTTTTCTTTACTTCTCCTATAATAAAGGTATTCATCCTTTTAAGGGTAATACTCACGCCTCGTGTCTGATATCCGGCACGGATCGATTGATGGATATTCTATCCGACAAGAGGCCATTAAAGCCGTTCATCTCGTACATTTCGGTTTCCAGCTGCTTTTCATTGGGATCTTCGATCTTAACGGCTACTCCATGCTCACCGAAACCGACACGTTTTTTATCCGCCTCCATGTACGCATAATCGTGCCAATCCTTGCGCTCTCCCTTGGGTTCCGGTAGCCGGAAACCTTCAAGCTTGTCACTTTTTGGTAGATCAACAACGGAGTTACGATCCTGATAAGGAGGTCGAGGAGCCTTCCGCGTGGGATGTACATTGGCAGCCCTGAAAACGGGCGTTACGGGATCTCCGTTCGGATCCAGTTTTTCTTCGGCATCCATGGTCTTTCGCATCCGCCGCTCGACGATCATGCTGGTGACCAGGGAAACGCCGACGACGACCACCAGGAACATCACCACCTTGCGCACCAGGCGCTTCACATATCTCCTCTTCATGGCCATCTGGACGTCTTGCCGGCGAAAGTCCAAAGTGCTGACTGCTGGCATGGCAATGCAGCGGAGGAGCAGCTACCTGGCTGCCTGGTGACACCTGGCAAAAAAACATAGCCATTAGTGTAATTGGGAACCTCGCATCTGAAGTGGGGGAAATTCGTTGATAAGGCGGCGGAATAGGTTCTAGGTTCGATTTTCGGTTGGCCAAAAACAAGCTTCTCCACTATCAATCAGTGACGTGTAAGAAGACCCAGATCCCGCACTCACCTGAGCAAAAGTCGGTCGAAAAGAATAATAAAATAAACATTACCGCATGCGAATTTAAATTAACGCGCGTCACGGTGGCGACATCTGTTGGGGCATTTGCGCAGCTGATGTTAAGTATTTGAGAATGGCGAAAACCCTTTAGTTTTAGAATTTTAAGATCTCAAAAAATCATTTAAAACATTTTTTAAAACGTCATGTTAAATGACTTTGTCTTAAATGAAATATTTTTTATAGAAATAATAGAGGTACGATATATAATTTTTAATTTTTTTTAAGTGCAACACCTAAACACGTGGAAATTTTTTGTTTCCATAATTTAATAAATATTTTATTAATTTTTTTACATTTTTATTTACATTTTATTTAGAATTCCCGGTGTTGCACATGCGGATTATAGCCAGTTATTTATCCAAACTTCCACTGCTGGTTCTGTTTGTTCTTGTCGCAAATATTATTGGAGAACACCTTGCCAAATTCCTTACCCTTGGGCAAATACGCTTCAAGGCACCAGACCCACATCTGGCCCTGTTGGATCCACTGATGCCGGCGGTTGTAGAACCAGTACTGATTGCCACCGTTGCCGTGACAGTGAAAAAGCCACACGGACTTCGTCTTAAGGCCCTGCGTTTCAAGGCAATCATCATTACTCTTTGTCAGTTGAATCTCATGCTCCTCAGTTAGAATCCAGTTTTGATATTCCCCGGGATCTGTTTTGTTTTTAGTGCAGCGAGAGAGAACCACTGGTTTCATATGTTTCTGGTTCAGGGAGTCCACGCAGAATCCTGGAAAGGCCACACTTTCAATGGGCCCCGATAAAGTTTCCGATGGATCCACAATGGGAAATGCTTTCAGAAAATCCACAGCCACTTTGTTCATGTACCAGTCGAAAGGTTTGCACTTCAGCGAGGTTCTTAAAATCTTCAAATGGGTAAGGTCTCCAGTGTCCGTCTTCCTATAGAGATCTGGGTTTGAGTGGTAAACGTGTTTCTTATACTCATCCATCCACACTTCAGCTACTCGTTTGTAGTTCTAGGAGAATATATAATTTGTAAATGTATTAAAATATTTTTAATTTTTAAATTGGTCATAAAGATTCATTGCGTACATTTTCAGTTTGTAAATTATTGCGTATACGCAGTAGCAACATATGTACATTATTTGTGTGTGTTAATTTTTTGTGTAATATAATAAAACCCTTAGGCATATCAGCCCATAAAACTTATAAGCTATGCCCTTAAAGATGATTCCCTACTCACCCTAGCCAAAAAATGCTGACTCCTTGGACTCGTCTTCGGTCGCATGGGTCCTTTGATTATTTGGCCCACTCGGGAGCAGGGAACATATATCAACATTCCGCCACACATCCAGACCTTAAAGCTCATCTCGAACTGCTCTCCGCCCCAGATGTCCAGTCCCTCATCATATCCTCCCAGTTTCCAAAAGAACTTCCGGTCTATCGCCAAGGGTCCTACTAAAACGGGAGTACGGTACGGCCTGGAACCAACATCTTCTTCGCCGTGATAAAGCGGTAACTCCTTAATCTCAAGCAACCAATTGAAACCGGAACGGGTAAATGAATTATACTTCATATAAGCAAAAGTTTTGTGCAAGATTACATCTGAAATGGGACCGGTAACTATATTCCGGTTTACAACAATGGGTTCTAGCAGGGGAGGTAGCTAAAAATTAAGAATGATTTATATGAAGTGTTACTTAAGTCTTTAACAATAAATAACATATTTGGTTTTAGAATACATTTAAAAATGTAAGACCTCTAGTCCAAAAACTTACCCAATTAATATTGACTTCAATGTGGGAATCTAGGAAGACTAAAACTTGGCCAGTTGCTTTTTTGGCTCCTTCCACCTTTGCTTTAATAAGACCACAACGCTTTCCGAGTCTTACTATCTGGATTATTTTGGGAAAGTTGATCGCCACATAGTCTTTAAGTTGTTGCCCCAAATCCGGGAGATTGCTGGCATCGTCCACGAGGACAATTTGCTTGAGCAGTTCCGGAGGAGAGCGGTTAATGATGCTAGTTACAGATCTTAGCAACACGCTGAGGTGTTCATTATGAAAAGGCATTATTACAGTCACATTGGGCAAGACCTCCAAATATTTGCGTTTCGAGCAACTGAGGTTGCTAAGTTTTAATTTAAGTTTTTATACTGGTATTCCTAAGAACTCACCCCAAAGGCCTGATATCCGGCAAGGATCTGTTTAGGCTTATGAGATCAGAGAGTTTGGCATTATAGCCGTGGATTCCGTAGAGGACTTCCGTTGATTCATTTTCTTTTGTATTTGGCAACAAAGCTGCTCTTCCCTGTTCCCCCAGTCCTGTCCCAATTGTATCCTCCTTAATGAGACAGTAGTGCCAATCCTTGATAGCTTTTTGCTTTGGCAGGTGAAAGTTTCCATGGCGGTAGATTTTCAAAATATCCAATTCGTTTTGGGTCAAGGTCAGTATGGGTGGGGAAGTCTCCGGCTTCTTTAGGATCTCTCTTTTTGGGAGCTGTATAGTTGACATATCCGTTTTAGGGATATCTTTTTGGTTGATTTTTATGGCAATAGACTCCACTATTCTTTTGTGTATCTGGCTTCCCATTAAAATAGTGGATACCAAAGAAGCCAAAAGAATGGCGAGCAGAAGACGCACAATCAACCTCAGATCTATATTCATAATGATCTTTTTTAATTCGTGTTTAATTCTATGTTATGATTTATGCTAAACGATTTACATATATTAAATTTATTTTCCTAGCCTACTTGATAATTTTAAATAAATAAATTCAGAATTTCAACGGAAATAAAATCATCGTCTTGGTTTGAAGCCCAGCTATTCTATACTTATGGTATTTTCATTGTAAGTGGTCACGCTAAACTTGGTATTTAAGGAAATTTTATTTGCAATTTTTGCCGCGACTTTGCAGTATTTAAATACTTTCTTAATACTAAGACCAAGCGCATGGAAGGTTTATAATTTTTATTTTTAACTAATTTAAACAAAATCTGACTGAAGCCAAGGTAATACCGCCATGGATCTCAACGACGCAGTGCTCACCTGTGCGGTGAACATGCAGTGGACCAATTCCGTGGGCATTACGGGACGAAAACTGGCCTACAAGACGGCTACCTTGCGCTTGGTGCGGAATGATCTGCGGGAATTGTTTGTGGAGGTGACGCCGGAGAAGCTGAAGCCCCTGAAGTTCAAGCTAAAGGACCTTATGGTGCACAAGAAGTTCATGGCCGAGGGCAAAGCCACCTTTAACTTCAAGGCGGAGAACTGCACCTTATATTTGTCCAACGCACCGCCGGGCACTTTGATGTTCTTTCTGCGCACGATCTTCATCAAAATGAATGGAACCGAGGGAGGATCTCAGCCAGATGATGCCTCCTTGCAGAAGAAACTCAGGGAGCATCTGATGTCCGGGAAACCCAGCACTTTCGATGACGTCTCGCCCGTCACCACCGCCGAGATGATTTTGGCGCGCAAAAAGGCGGGTTTGATGTCCAAGGGTTCGGTGACCACGCCCTCGCCCCAGGCAGCCAAAAAGCGGAGATTCGAGGAGCTCAAGGAGGAAAAGGACCGAGGCAGCCTGCCAGCCGCCAAAAAACTCTACCAATCGACCACCGATGAGTCCCTTAGACTGAGCGAAGAGCAAATGGAGGTGCTGCGGGCCTGTACCTCCGGCAAAAGTGTATTCTTCACCGGCTCTGCGGGCACTGGAAAGAGTTTTCTGCTCCGGCGGATCATCTCGGCCCTGCCGCCCGATGGAACAGTGGCCACAGCCTCCACGGGAGTGGCAGCGTGCCTGATTGGCGGCACCACTTTGCACGCCTTCGCAGGCATAGGAGGAGGAGACGCCACCATGCAGAGGTGTCTGGAGCTGGCTTCCCGACCCGCGAGTGCCCAGACCTGGAGGAAGTGCAAGCGACTGATCATCGATGAGATTTCCATGGTGGACGGCCAGTTCTTTGAGGTACTACTTCCCCTACATTTCTGCTTCTTAAAGAGAGTTTAACAACCTATCTTTCTGTAGAAAATCGAAGCTGTTGCCCGGCACATTCGTCGCAATGATCGACCCTTTGGCGGCATCCAGCTCATCCTGTGCGGCGATTTCCTGCAGCTTCCCCCAGTTATTAAAGCAGATTTCGGAGCTGCGCCCAGTGCAACGCCCCAACAGCGATTCTGCTTCCAGTCCAGCGCCTGGGAGACCTGCATCCAGTGTGTCTACGAACTGAAGCAAGTGCATCGTCAATCGGATCCGGAGTTTGTGAAAATTCTCAACCACCTTCGCATTGGCCATGTGAATGATTCCATAACCAGCCGACTGTCTGCCACTTCCAAGCAAAAAATCGAGGGAAATGGCATTTTGGCCACTCAACTGTGCTCACACACAAACGATGCGAACTCCATTAACGAGTCCAAGCTGGAGAACCTCGAAGGGGACAAGATTTTATTCAAGGCTGATGATTCGGATGCGGGAATGACCAAGACTCTAGATCAACAGATTCAGGCGCCCTCTCAATTGTACCTCAAGGTAAATGCCCAAGTAATGCTGCTCAAGAATATAAACATTTCCAATGGTCTGGTAAATGGAGCTCGTGGCGTGGTTGTGAGAATGGACAAGGATCTGCCAGTGGTAAGGTTCAAGAACAACCAGGAATACGTTTGCAAGCACGAGAAGTGGATAATTAAAACCGCCTCAGGAGGCCTCATCACACGTCGTCAGGTTCCATTGAAGTTGGCCTGGGCATTTTCCATCCACAAAAGTCAAGGTCTAACTCTCGACTGCGTGGAGATGTCCCTGTCGAAAGTATTCGAGGCTGGACAGGCCTACGTGGCCTTGTCCCGAGCTAAGTCCCTGCAATCCATTCGCATCCTGGACTTTGACGCCAAGCAAGTGTGGGCCAATCCGCAGGTGCTGCAATTCTACAAGGGATTCCGACGCAAGCTAATGGACACAACCATGATTCCTTTGGGTCCCAAGAACAAGGACAAGAAGCCAGGAGACAGCAAGGCCGGAAACAGCGCCCTGGCCAAGCTCAAAAAGAGTCTCATGAACAAGCCGCTAGTCTCAATCAGCTGAGCTCAGAATTTTTTTAAGCCCTAGTGAAATCATAGTGAAAAGAAGAATTTTTATAAGATTTAAAATTGACTAATATTGCTCATCTAATTCCATTAGGAAATTGTAATTTTTTCTTTTTTTAGAGAAAAACATTATGGTTTATAGACTTTGAATTCCTTTTCTTAAAGAAACGAAAAATTATTTCCTAAATTGGTGCATTTTTATAATACAGGCGGGCTCAGATTTGCCTCGCTTTTACGTGAATGTGAAAGTAAAAACCGGAGCCCGCCTGAAATTATAACTTTTTATAAAGTATCACATGTTGTTGCTATATTTTTTTAAAGATTCATCAATGTTTTATGTGAAGTTCTTGAAGTGTTTGAACTCAAAGAAAATTATGAATTATAGAACTTAAAACCCGACTCTTTCTCTCTTGAGAATTTATTGTCTCAAATAGTTTATAAGTTAGCTAACATTTTGTCAAAATGGTATATTATAAAACGCTAGAAATTAGTATTATGCACAATTATGAATCGAACATTTGACCTTAATGCATTTCACAAATAAAAACTTTAGACAAATTACTAAAAAACTTTTTGACACTATCAAGTTAGCCATTAAACCGATTAACTCGGCTGATGACAGGAATATGAAGCTCTAACCTTCTGAAGTGTTACTTACAGGGGATTCCTCATTTTCCTCACTTAAAAGAGTTTTAATCAAGCTCAATCCTTGGGATTACCATTTCAAGGCGTGTATATTTAATTATAACGGATAATGAAACTAGAAAACATCAGCTCAGATCGGCGCGTTAGACACATAAAGGCAGAGTTTAATGGGCGGCCTCCTCCTTCATGCCACTGCCCACGGGTCCATGGCGACGCTCCCAGATCAGGCGATGCTTCTGCTTCATGTATGCGGTCTTGGCATTGGCATAGCCTCCCAAGTCGCCATCTGAAATTGGAAGAAATCGATCAATGAGTGGCCATTCAAAGCTTAAATCTAGGTGTCCCATATAGGGATTCCACTCACACTTGATGAACCAGTTCTCGGTGGCCTTCTCGTACTGTTCCAGCAGCGGCTTGCACTTGACGATGTGGTCAGGGGCCTCGTAGAGGGTGCAGTCCTCGAAGCGCTGGCGCAGAATGTTCACGATCTCGTTGTCCACCATGCGATCCCGGCGGAACTGCTGATCGGCCTCAAAGCGGCAAACGGCATCGTCCGTGTAGCACTGATCGATCGTCGGAACGCGGCGGAAGCGCTGGTGATACCAATTCTGCTTCTCCTGGTTCGGCTCCACAATGCTCTCTGTGGGGTAATTATAAATTTGATTAACATGGGTCTCAAAAATCGCTGTTATAGTCGCAATATTACTCCTGTTGATATGACATTTGAGATGTGGTTAGGAGTTGAAATATAATGTGTTTATTTATAGGTAAAATATTAAAAACAATCTATTAAATTGCAAAAAAAATAAAATTGGAAAGATATGTAGTATAATTTTGTCTGGCATAAAATCTTTTCTCTGATTCTTAGTGACTCTACTTTTGTTAATAATCAGGCATAGCATGTATCAAGTTTTATTTAATGCCGACAGCATATTCGGCTAAAAACCCAAGGTAATATTGGTTTTAGCATTTTAGCAAAGCCGTGTAAACAAAAACAAAAGCCCAGGGTGTTGAGGTTATGTCATTATGTAATTGTCTGGAGTTTTTCCAATTTTTCCCTGCCTTGGCCAAAGGATACCCATCTAAACAGGCTCCGGACACTCCTAAGTCCATGGTGGATGCCAATCCTTGAGGATTACGTACCGCGGAACCAAGTTATGGGTCCATCGATGACATTGAGCACCGACTCGGCGAAACTTGCCATCGGACTGCGCGGCTCCGGCATTTTCTGGCTTTTCTTCCACCTGGAATATGCGGAAGGCTATAGGTATGTAAATTTAATTGATTCCTTTTATTTTGGCAGGAAATGGTTTAAAAAACCTTAATTACTTGAAAAACTTAGTGTTAAAATTTGTAGTAGGACCGCAGGCTGGATAATCGAAAAATCGACAATCGCCACCTATCGGCGATTGCTGAACGGTGGGAAATGGAACATATGAATGTTTTTATTTTTATAACTTAAATAGTTTGAGCAAGCAACAATAAAGAAATCAAGTTCAGTACTTTAAAGGAAAAATTTATGAGAGCATTGCATTTCCAGCGAATAACAAATTCCGCGAAATGGTTTTGTCAGTTTTTTTGTGTTTGCACGTAAGCAAACGTAAGCAACCGTAAGTGTTGCCGTGCCAAACATCGATTACGATGCTTTGAAAACATCGATACATCGACTTAACATCGATGTTTCTCCACCTCTAGTCACTGCGGTCACACTGCTTCGCTCAGCACCTCGCTTGGGTAAATTTTTTTGTTTAATTTATTGTTTTAAAGTCTACACTGCACAGTGTAACAAATAATAATGTCCTGAGCCCACCCAAACTTACACCCCCTATTTTTTTTTTTTTGCACGTGAAACATAGTGTTAAGGATATATACAGCGACGAAAAAGTGAAACCGACAAAAGAAATTCTGTCAATTTAATCCGATTAATGAAGAAATCCAGGATTTACGCGAGTTGAGAATGTGTAATTGATGTCCCGAAAGCAGGCGATTGCAGGTAATTAGCCAAGGAGGCAGCAGGTAGCCGAGGAGGCCGTTTCGGCCAGCGGAGTCTCACTTTGAGGGGAGGTAAACAAACCACATACACCGGCGTACAGTCCCGGTCATAAGAGTATAGCCACTATGCTGGCTCAGTCGGTGTATTTGAAGGTGACGCGCCTCTCGTTGCGCTCCGCCTCCAATCTCTCCAAGCGCCGCGTGGACGAGCTGAGCTCGGGCATCGGTGAGCTGCGCCAGCTGCTGTCCTGCGTGGTCTGCTGTCAGCTCCTGGTGGATCCATACTCGCCCAAGGGCAAGAGGTGTCAGCACAATGTCTGCCGGCTGTGCCTGCGCGGCAAGAAGCGGCTGTTCCCCCGCTGCTCGCAGTGCGAGGATTGCTCCGACTTCAAGACCTACGAGGAGAACCGCATGATGGGCACCCAGCTGCTGTGCTACAAGACGCTGTGCGTCCACCTGCTGCACTCCGCCCTCTTCGGGCAGCTGAACGGTCTGCGGCCCCAAGTGGACCGGGAGCTGGTGTCGCGCATCAGACTGCCGCCGCTGACCACACAGGACTTCATACGTGAGGGTTCCAACATCTCCGACACGGGCGATACGTTCCTGCCACAGCCGGATCTGCCCTTCCTAAAGGACCTGCCCACATCGCTGCCCGCCGAGACGCCGCCCACAACAGCGGCCACCACGCCAGAGCTGCCCTACGATCGACATCTTAATATTAGCGATATTGAGGCGGAAGCCGCGGCCACAGCCGAGCAGGGTCACTTTTCGCCTTTGCCCCTTCTGCCCACAGGATCGCGAATGGGCTTGATCTCCCACGGCGGGCAGATAGTCATTGCCACCGAGTCCTCGGAGTCTGGCTTCATGGACCACGCGTGGACGGACCAGGTGGACCTATCCGGCGCCGTGTCCGTCTCCAGTTTCCACGGCAACAGCACAAACTTTGCAGTCTCCTATGTGATGCCCACGGCTGCGTCCACGCCGTTTAATCCTCACGATCTGCAGATCGGACAGGTGGTGCAAATGGCCAACTCCGCGCAGTTGGCTGTGCTGGCTGCCGTGGAGGAAACTGATGAAACCTCTGCGCAATTGACAGAACTACCTGTTGAGGAACCTCAGGAGGCTCTAGCCACCATTGAGGAAGTCGAAGAGACCCCCATTGAGTCGGAGACTGTGGTCGAGGAGCACAAGGAAGACAACACACCTGCGGAAATGCACACTTCACAATCTCCTAATCTGGAGGATGTTGAAGAGCCAGAGTCAGAGCAGGTTACCCATAAGAGGAAATTGGCCGACATGCAAGAAGAATGGCAAGAGGAGGTAGGGCAGACGCTGGACAAAGACTTGGAGGAGCTGCAAGCAGCAGCCGAGAAGGGGGCGCAAGAGGAGGAGTGGCATCCCAGCAGTGAGGAGCAGCAGAAGGAGTGGCATCCCAGCAGTGAGGAGCAGCAGGAGGAGTGGCATCCCAGCAATGAGGAACAGCAGGAGGAGAACAGTACTGAATCCCTACCCAAGCGAAGGAAGACCCGCAGTAAGAAATCCTCGCAAGCTGCCAAAATTGAGCCTGCTCCGGCTGAGGTCAAGGCTAAAATACAGTCTGGCAAGGGGGCTTTTCGCAAGTTTCGTGGGAAGGAGGCGGAGGAAAAGGTAAAGCCACCGAAGCCCAAATGCCGATGCGGTGTCTCCGGCTCGGCAAATACCTTGACCACCTGCCGAAACTCACGTTGTCCCTGCTATAAGAATTTCAATAGCTGTGCCGACTGCCACTGCGTGGGATGCAAGAATCCCCATAAAGAGGACTATGTGGAGAGCGACCATGATGATGAATACGAAGTACTTAAAGGAGAGCCAGAAGCACAGCCGATGCAACCAGCTGAAGAACCCAAGCAGGAGGAGAACAGCCGGGACTCGGCGCCGCCCTCGAACGGCGGCATTCAACTGGTGCTCCTCTCCGATATGATGGCCTCACAGTATCCCGTGGTGCTGATGCAAAACGAGAACGGCGGGGTTCAGGGTAAGCACCCATTCACCAGTGTCGGGTCTCCTCTAATCCCTTTCCATTTGCAGGCTTTAACATTTTCCAGGATAACAAGCCCGTTGATCCGGCCACAGCTGGTTTCATCTATGTGCAGGTGCACAACAACGATGGCAAAATGAACATTCCCCAGTTCGCCTACGTGATGCCACCGCCTGCTCTGCCGGAGCCACCGGCTCCCTCTCTCTCGCCACCTCCTCCGCCACCGGCTCCGGAAAGGGAAGTCATCGAGCCGCCGGCCAAGAAGTTCAGGACCAGCAGGACACGCCGGGGCAGGGCCAATTTCTCGGCCCTCGACACGGTGGACGAGCTTGTCAGTGGCGGATCCAGGAGTAACTCTGCCGCTGGCGACAGACTGTCGGCCACTGACAACGCCCACTCGCTGTTCGAGGAGATCATGTCCGGCTCGGATGACTTGTAAGCAAGGCAGCTCACGCATAGATGTTGTTTTCTCTTTGGAATGTTTTCTGTATTTTTTTTTTTTGTCTTTACTGATGCCCAGAAGTTATTCTTTAGAGGATATATGTTATGGAGCGAAATGTTCCTCCATAACTAGTTGAATAACTGGGTGCTCACCTCATTGATCCTCTTATTTTTGTATCATTTGGTTTTGTACTCGTAGCATATTTATTTCAACATGTACAGTTCCTCATCTCAAGCGAAGTCCACTCAAATCAACTCCAAAATATTTTTTAGGAGCATTCTACATCCAGAGGATTTTCCAGACTTTTTGTAATCAACCAGCCAACGTTTCCAAAACTCCACTTTCTTTTCATATGCATAAGAAACAGTCGTGTAGAATTAAGCAATTCTTAAACCGCCGCAAGAAACTGAGTATTTAAGGGCAAAGCAATAGTCAGAACTAAGTAATAATTTTCGTTAAACGAACAGCGAATTATACAATAACTTAAATGCTTTGCTCGCAATGCGGTTGCTGTGAGCCAAAAAAAAGAAAAACAATTTTTTTCCTAGACTAAGACAATTTTTTTCATAGACTAAGACATTTTTTTGAGCATGAATTTTTTTGAGCACGTGAAACAATAATAACAAAGCCATATATAGCCATATTATATATGCGAAAATAATAATAATAATATTATTAAAATATTAAACAAATGCAAATAAATATGAGCATTACTACTCTGAAATATGTGATTTCTTAAGGGTAGAGGTGGTTCTGTCTTTAAAAGGCGGTTCGAGATTTCTGGAACACAGTTCTTGGAAGTAGAATGAGTGCCTCCAGACTCTCCATTTCCGCTCACTTAAGTCACTCAGGCTCAATTCCGAGTTTAATCAGAGCTCCGCGAGAAGAGTCGCCCTTAGATAAGGCTGCTGATCGTCGGATCGCCGCCTGCTGCTTAGCTCATCATTATCTCTTGATTAACGCGCCAGTCGGCAGTGCGTGTTTGTCCCGAGTCGAGAACGGAGGCTGCCGCGTTTTCCTTGTTTTTTCCCGCAACTGATAAGCAGAGGTTCAGTCTTATCCCCGAGAGATGAAGCCACTGATAGTGATCGTGCTCGTGAGTCTGCTGGCAAGTAGCTGCCACATTGTCCAGTCCCAGGAGCCAGGAGAAGGTAAGCCCCATCCTGATCCCCACCCAATCGCCACCACTCATTCTTTGACCTTTGAGCAGTCGTCGTAGAGCAGGAGGCCAGCGAATCTGATGACGCACTTAAGATCAAGCAGAGCCAGGCCAACATAGCCGCCCAGGTGGAGGCCATGCTGGAGCATTTTCAGCAGGAGGATCCACAGGGCCTGCCCGGAGTGCCGGTGCCCGATCCCCTGGAAGTGCCCAATGTCAAGAAGAGCATGGGCATGGCCAATCTGGACATGAAGCAAGTCAAGGCCTACGGTTTGTCCAAGTTCCGGATTGACAAAATGAACCTGGACTTGAAGGAGATGAAGGTGGGTTTCTAAATTGATTTGGAGATCGTTTGATTGAAGGTTTCTCCTCTTTTCCAGTTCAATGGAGGTCTCCAACTGGATCAGATGCTGGTCAAGGGGCAGTACACGTTGAGCTCCTTCTTTTCCAAGGCCAATGGACCCTTCACCGTGATCCTAAAGAACGTCTATGCAGAGGCAACTGCCTTCCTGGCCGTCGAGCGGGATGGCCACCTGGCCACGGACCGCATCAAGATCGACATCACCTTCTCGGACATGACCATGGACTTCCAGAACCTCGGCATAGTGGGCAGCGTCTTCCAGAGCGTGGTGAACGGGGCCCCCAATCTGGTCTTCGACGCCATGAAGCCGTTCATGCTCCAGGAGGCGGACAAGAAGTTGCGCAGTGAGATCAACACCATGATCCAGAACACCTTGGGCGAGCGGCGGCTGCCCAACTCGATAACCCCGCTGGACAGCGCCATAGCCATGGCCCGCAAGATGGTGCGAGAGAAGGGCTACGATCCGTACCACTTGCCCGATGTGAATCGCACCATGGGCGTGTTTAGCGTCCAACTGGCCCACACCTGGATCAATGGAATCTCGAGCTTCTACCGTGTGGGAAACATCACCGCTGGCATGGCCAATAAAACGGTGTCCGTGGTTCTTCAAATTGGCACGCAGCAGGTGACGGGCGCCGGCCAGTGGGAGGTGGGTCTGGGCATGATGACCCGCGTGGGTCATGTCCAGTTCACCGTGCAGCACATCCGCGCCACCGTCGGCGTGAGTCAGTCCCTGGACACGCGCAAGCGGGCGCAGATCACCGATCTGCAGTTCGACATGGGAAACATACAGGTGCGATGTGATGGAGCAGGAACACTGGACTACGTCATGGAGTTTGCGGTAAACGTGATCCCGAACCTGCTGCGCTACCAGATCATGGACGCCATCGAGAACCCCATCAAACAGCGCGTCCAGGAGAAGTTCAACACCATCGACGTGGAGCAGGTAATCAAGAACATGGCCCAGAATGATTTTAACTTTGACCCAAAATTGTTGGGCTTGTGAGTCGTTAGTAAGTAAGTGAGGTTTTGCAATCGAATAAAGATTTATCCCTAGAACGTGGGGAATCACAAGCTAGTTAAGGTATAAGCTATCTACATAAATTACGTCTTGCAGTGGAATGTGCCTAGGGATCCTTTACACTAAAGCAGAGCAGCTGCAGTCGCATGTTCCGCTTAACCCGTTCCAGAATCTCGTCTGCCTTTCGCTTCTGCTCGCCACTCAGGGGAGGATTGATGGCCTCCAGTGCTTCCATGAAGTAGTTCCTATGGGAGATAAGAGAATTAGTCATTGTACACAATCATTGCGCTTAGGGATTGTCTTACTTGGCTGTCTCATTAACATAGCCCTCCAGAGAGTCCCTCAGCAGACGAATATCCACGTGAGCCTGAATCGCTCCCGTGAAGCTAAACCGCTGGACGCAGCTCATCAGACGAGCCAGCTCCTCAGATATGGTCTGCACAATGGACTCCAGGATGGGTCGCAGCAGAGCCGGAGAAATACTGTAGATCTCTGAGTAGACGCCAACTAGATTATCGCAACACTCGTGGGCGTAGGGACGCAGCTGGCCGATCTCCATCTCGTGATCCCACTGGAAACGACCCAGGTACATGGAGGGCTCTATGGTGCCTACCAGAGGATCGCCCTTGTGCTCGACGTACTCTTCCAGGAGGTTGGTAAACAGTTGGTTGACCGTGTACCGTGCCGTTTCGATTGCCAAAGTGGGCAGCGGGTAACCATAGCGCACGAAAATGTCGCCGATGCGCGGGAAGAAGCTCTTGTTGCAGTACGCATAGTTGGCCAGGCAACAGAGCATGCGCTGCTCCCAGGTCACAGCAGCTCCTCCGCCGCTTCCAGCCACCGAATCTGGCTGCTGGGAGTTGGGAAATCCCAGCAACTGCGACACATTGTGGGTGGGCGTCTCCTCGTCATGGGAGTGAAAGGCCAGCTCCTCGATTACCCCGCTGAAGGCGGATAGGAATTCCTGCAGGCGCTGAGTCACCTCCCGTTGTCCATCCGATTGCGGCTCGAGTAGATTTCCCTCTCGAGTCTCCCGCTGCATGCACACAGACTGCACCTCGTCCAGCGTTTCGATGAGCAGGGTCTCCAAGGCGGCGGGAAGCAGTGTGGCGCCTGGATACTCCTCCACGCCCAGCTCCCAGGTCTCCTGGCTGCCCAGCTTCTTGCATCGATCCGTGGCCCGCTTGAAGATGATCGAGAAGCAGAAGAGGCGCACTTCGTCGATCAGCTTCTGTATAATGTCCAGCGCTTCCGAGGGAAGATCCAAGCTTATGAGTGTAGCATAGGCTATCCTTGTGAAGCGCAGGCATTGCGGAATCCAGGGAAGGAACTGGTGCGTGGCCGAGGCAGAGCCAATAGACCAAGACAAGCCGCTGGACTGCCTCAAGGCGCGCTGATCCGCGGCAATAAGTATGGCCAAGCGCAAGTAAACACAGAACTTTTCGATGGCGTTCAAAATCATGCGCTTAAAGTCACCTGGTTTGGGATCATGAGGTCCTCGCAGCTCCCCAGTGAAGTAAAGCTGGCCCAGACGCCACAAATCTGGCAGTTGGGAGGCTGCAATGTCGCACAGCTCCTCGCAAAAGTTCACCCGACTGGGCGCCTGGCTGGGATCCCTGTTTTTGGCCTTCTCCTGCGCACTCGTATCCTTGTTGGCGTGCTGCTCGAAGGTCTGGCGGAAAGTACCTTCCAGGTACTTGGCCCTGGCCTCGATGGCATCCCAAGCTGGATCGATGTTCCGCAGCTTATCGCCAATGGGAGTTCCGCTTTGCTGAAGCTCCAAGCTAATCAAAGCCTTGATTAGTTTCTTCTGCTGCTCCACGCTCTGCGGCATTTTGACCACCTTCTCGTGCAGCTGCTTCCTGATGGACAGAATCCTGAGGTCCACCTCCTCCAGCACCTTGCGGAAGATGGGAATCTCCGTTTTGCCAAACAGATTCTTGGCGCGCGAATAGTCGTTGACCACAATGTCGTATTCGCCCGCCTTGGCCCGTCGGTCCACCGAGTTGGGCAGGCAGAAAAGAAACTTGTGGCGCGACAGGGCGAATAGGACGGACCTGGTGGAGTCGGCCTTCTCCTTGCGTACCAACACATCCGTAAAGATCTTCTGCGACTCGCTGATGGAGTCTGCAAAGGAATACTTGAGAATGGAATCACCTTAAACAATAACCTCACTTACTCTCAATGGATGTCTCTAGGACGTTCAGAGTCTCCTTGCCGTACAGCTTCTCATCCTCCTGCAGCTTGTCTCTAATGTTCATCAGCGTGTCCAGCTGGTCAATCACAGAGCCCGCATTGGACTTAAGGAAGGACAACTGGCCCTCCTTCTGGCTCTCTACCTTGCGCTTTAGAAAGGAAAGTCCCGCCTTGAGATCCTCGAATGAGGTGGCCAGATGATTCTCCAGCAGGAACCAGGCCGGTGAGAAGTGCTCCTGCGACAGATCGCCGCAGGCTTCGGGGAACAGGTCGCGCAGATCCTCGGGGATCTTTTGCTCGTTGCCCTCGATGGACAGACCGAGGGGATCCTCCTGCGTCAGACCGGATTGGGCCAGGGTGCGACGACCCCAGGCAAAGTTCTGCGAGGGCGACTCCTCGATCCACACGGCGGACTCCTTAAGGGGACCGATGGTCTCGTGGTAGGCACGGAACTGCACCGTGGAGGTACCCACTCCGCCGCTCAAGGTGGTCACAATAATGTCCCCCTTTCCTTTGGCCGGACCAGTGCGTGCGATGATCTTGTTGGGTGACTTCCACTCCGCGGACAGCAGGCAATCCGAGCCGCAGATCTTCAGACCTTTAGTTTTTGGGGAAATTATGGAGAGTCATCAAAAAACAGGAGATATGTGTGGCAGACTACGCCTACCAATCAGATCTTGAGCCCGGGTGCCCAGAAACTCGCCGCGGATGATGACGCGGGTCCCAGGAGGACCCTCCTTGGGGGAGAGCCCCGTTACCACTGGCTGCGGGGCCATCGTGAGCTATTTTACCCGAAAAAGTTGGTCAAAAACTCAATAAAAACAGAAGGAAACAGAACTTTTATTAATGCCGCAGTGTTGGAAAGCGCTAACTTAATACCAGTGCTAACAGCTTTGCTTTTTAGACCTCAAATTTGGCGGACTTATCTAGCAGTTATCAAGAATCGGAAATTAAGCTTATTAAATTAAATTAAAGGCCTTCCATATGTAAAGGACAGTCTATTTATTATGACAATGGAATTGATTAAACGGTTTTGAACCACCTCCTCTGCTAATCATGCTTCTATATTTCCAAATTAATCACACCTGTTTCAATTTAAATATAACTATTTACGGTGTTTCCTCTTTGGCTAAAACTGATAGTTAAAAATTTATCAGTTTGGGGACTAGCCAATTTGTATTTACAATATATTGAAATGGGAAAATATTTCACTTATCTTATTAATAAATAAATATACTTATTTCAAACTAATATTATATATCATAGAAATATTTTGTTCGAACCGCACTTATAAATAGCTATTTGCTCACCTCTAGCTAGTGCTGTCTGCTTCAGCAGGACATCACTGGCCATCTCCGCTCTGCCAGCTGAACAGCTGATCGATTGTTTCCCAAATCCGCCGCAGAAAAATGGATGACGTCGAACGAATTCAGAGCGAGAATGATAATTTGCGCAAGATTCGCAACCGCCTGATGCAATGGGAGTCCAAGACGGACCCGCTGGCGGCGCTGAGTGTCCAGCAGGAGGAGCACCTGGACGTGCTGACCAATCTGTGGCGCGACAGCGGACCATCGGTGAGTGGAATCTTCTAGGATGGCAAAGGGGATCGGTTCTTACCCACGTCTTTCTCTCCAGGCACCTCCACCGACCACGCCCACTCAGGCAGCTCCCGCCGATCACCTGGCAGCAACTTCTCCGCCCAGCGGCGATGACGGAGAATTGCCCGTGGAGGGCTTGCAGAGCACCAACGACTTCCTGCTCTGGTTTGCGGACGTCAGCGCCGAGATCGAGCAACGTGGCGACGCCGACTACCACAAATACCTGCAGCAGCTGGAGCAGCGCAAGGCGGAGTGCTCCCACATGCTGGACCAGATCGCGGGGGCCATGGAGCGCCTGGGCGCCCTCTGCGACGAGTATGACTTTGTGTCGCAGAAGACGAGCGCCCTGAACACTGCCAGCGAGCAGTTGATCGAGGAGCAGGAGAAGCTTCAGGAACTGAGCCACGAGATCCAGCGCCGACTGCACTACTTCAGCCAGGTGGAGCTCCTCAACCAGCGACTCCAGAGTCCCACGCTCTCGGTGGCCAGCGAAGCCTTCAGGGAGTGCCTCAACAAGATCGACGAGTGTCTCAACTACATCGAGGAGAATGTGAGCTGTGGTCTTCGCTTCTGGTGATCCATATTCTAACTAGCATCTTTTCCAGCCCAAATTCAAGGACGCGGCCACCTACAATGTGAAGTACAGGCAGTGCCTGGCCAAAGCCTCGGGTCTGGTGCGCAACTATGTAACCAGCGTGATCAACCAGGCCACGGAAGCCACGCTGCACCCGAAGAATGCGCCGGATGCCTCTACTGCCATAAAGGCGCCCGATGCCGCCTTTGCTTTGTACTATGGGAAGTACCAAACGGCCGCCGCGAAGGTGAAGCGCGTGGCTCAGTTGATTGAAGCCCGTTCGGAGCACAGCCAGGACTACGCCCAGCTGATGGCGGATCTGCAGCAGCACTACTTGACCCAGCGGGCCAGCGTAATGTCGCCGGCGGTGAATCTGTCCATACAGAACGTTAAGTTGGCCCACAAGGGGGATCACTGCTCGCTCACCCGCAGTGCCTGTGCCTTCTTGGTGCATGTGTGCCAGGACGAGCAGCGTCTCTTCTACCAGTTCTTCAGTACGGGGGCTCCTCACTTGACGTAAGCCGAGTCGGTCGTCTAAAAGAACTTATTATTTCATACATCATTCTTTTTAGAATCTACCTCGAGGGCTTGTGCACCATTCTGTACGACACCATGCGACCCTTCATCATACACATCAATCACTTGGAAACGCTGGCGGAGATCTGCTCAATTCTGCGCATTGAAATGCTGGAAGAGCATGTCCAGCAGAACCGTAAGTTAAAAGTTCCCTGAATTATTCAGATCCCAATTTATAAATATGTCTTTTTATTAGCTGCTGGCCTGGAGGCCTTTGCCACCATTGCTCATCAGCTGCTACAGGATGTGCAGGAGCGTTTGGTATTTCGAGCGCATCTATACCTCCAGTCGGACATTCTAAACTTTAATCCCTCATCGGGGGACTTGGCCTACCCGGAGAAGTTGGAAATGATGGAGGTATGTGGCTCTAGGAGACTCAAATTGATTGAATAATATAAGTACATATATTCCAGAGCATTGCCCTTTCGCTCCAAGAACCTGCACCCTTGCGACGCTCCGATTCTCGCGCCTCCATGATATCCAGTGTCTCGAGTGCCGTGGAGACGGAAAGCGTGGACACCGCCTACAGGGTGAAGCAAATGAGTGAGTACCTTAAGAATCCGAAGCTAAGAACCCCAAGCTAACAAGTTTCCTCTTTAGATTCCCCCGCTGATCTGCATGGCATGTGGTATCCCACAGTGCGTCGCACACTGGTGTGCCTCTCGAGGCTCTACCGCTGCGTGGATCGACCCATTTTCCAGGGCCTGTCCCAGGAGGCTCTCAAGCTGTGCATCCAGAGTGTCTCCCATGCGGCGGGCAAGATATCAGCCAACAAGACGCCCATTGACGGCGAGCTGTTCGAGATCAAACATCTGCTTATTCTGCGGGAACAGATTGCCCCGTTCCGGGTAGACTTCACGGTGAAGGAAACATCGCTGGACTTTAGCAAGGTGAAAACGGCTGCCTTCGGTCTGCTGCAGAAGCGCAAGCAGCTCTTTTCCATGGGCAGCAACAATGCCCTGCTGGAATTCCTTCTGGAGGGCACGCCGCAGATCAAGGAGCATTTGCTGGACTCGCGAAAGGAGGTGGACCGTCAGCTGAAGTCGGTGTGTGAGAGGTACATTAAAGATGCGGTGCACATGCTAGTGGGTCCGCTGGTTACATTCCTGGAAAAGGCGCAGACCCTGTTGGCGCAAGCTACTCCAGCAACGCCCCAAACGCCAGATTCCGCGAAAGTCAGCTACGTTTTGAGGCAAAGCCCTTGGGCAAGTCCGCAGCAGATCAGCAGTATCATCCAGGAGACGCAGCGCCTCATTAAAGCCAAGCTAGCGGTGCTACAGCGGTCCATGCAGCTCTACCTGAGCAATCGTGATACGGAGTTCATCATCTTTCGGCCGATCCGCGTAAGCTACTACAATGGTACTTGGTAGACTTCCATTAACTCCTGTTTTTCCCCTTTAGAACAACATCATTCAGTCCTTTGTGAAGCTGGAACAACTGCTGACCACCAATGGCTACTCCACAGATGATATGATCATCACGAGTTGTCCTTCGGCGGAGCAGGTATCCATACTCTTATCCAGCGCCAGTATTTTGGCCGCCGAGGGAGTGGCCAGCTTTGCAGCAGCAGCCCGGAAAATCAGCACCTCGTCCTCGGTGGAGGGTCCAACTGTTGGACGAAAGCTCAGCACGTTGTCCAATAGATCCGAACTGGTGGAGGAGCCCAAGGCTGAGGAAGCCGCTGCCCAGGTAGAGGTCGTTCCCGCGGAAGAACCATCACCGGAGAAGATTGTGGAAGAATCACAGACGCAGGCCAACTCCGAATAATTTGCAATGTATCTTGTATAACTACTTATGTGTATCTATTTATGTATCTAGCCCTGTATCATATTTATCTGTTTAGCGTTGAGTAAGATCGGTTTGCAATAGGGTCGTTTACCTTGTTTCCTTTTCAAAGATTCGTGTTACACAACTCTCATCTATGCTTTCCAAAAATGTAGAATTAACATTGATTTATTTTTGCTAAACCACGTAGAATGTGACGAAGTCGAAGTAAATTACCAACAAAATATTACGATAACAGTGTTTGATTAGCATCTAGTAGTTGGGCAGATTCCTTGCTGCTGGTCAAGTGATGGATATGTTGAGAGAGGGCTGTTTAGACTAACCATTTGAACTAGGACAGCAGGCACTTGTCCTTGGCATTGCCCTGCTGGTTGCCTGCCCCGCCCACCGAAACCTGCTGGGCGTTGTTTGGGGTGGGAGCTTGGCGGTTGCGTTCCGCCGCGTCATCCTGCTCCATTATCGATAAGGCTAGGGCCCGGGCGAGGGCCTCGTCTTCGCTCTGAAATTGATAAATGCATGTAGTGAATAATGAATAAAGGTCTAGAATGATCTAGGGATTTGCAGGCGAGTCTATTTAATAATCTAACGAAATTCAGATTTCTTTCTGTATAGTAAGTGAGCAATATGTTTGGCTTGGAAAGCAATAAATGGCCAGACTATAAATGAGGATATTGCTTCTCCTATTGAAGGAGTATTGATCTTCAAAAGATCCCTTACTCACCATGTTGCCCTGTATGTTTTGTACTTGAGTGGCCTGTACAGGTCTTGGTCGGGAATTGGTCGAGCTGATGCTGCTGCTGGTGGGCTTGCTCTGCCTGCGCCGTTCGGCCGCCTGGGCAGCCATGGATCGCGTGTCCGAGGAGGTCTTGAATATGGACTGCCATCCTCCACTGCCGGACGAGGAGCTTGCTGCCACTGCTGGCCTGGCACTCGATGGCTGGCAGTCGTGGTCGCTGGTGTGGCGATGACGCAGGCAAAAGTTCAAGTGGCACTGGGAGCAGGTCACCGGGATGAGCTCCTTGCGCTTGCAGCCCTTGGCGTGGCAGCGATTCGTGTATATCTTCTTGCTCTCCGACTTGCACTGCTGGTCGATGTGCTGGCCCACGGTGATGTCGGGCTCCACTCCTGGGGGCGTGGGCACGGGTTCGCGGCAGAGTGGACAGATGGGCACCTGGACGTTCTTCCTGTGGGCGGCGGGGCAGTTGTGCCGATCGTAGTTGTAGTGCGAGGCGCAGAAGACCTTGTCGCAAGAGTCGCATTTCACGGGCAGGAAATCTGGAGACGTGGATCGAAATTAATTCAATTAGTTTTCCACTTCCTGTTTGGCCAGC